ATTTCGAGGAAGTCTCAGGATTATCTGCACTGCTGTAATGCCCAGTGTACTGGTGCATAATAAAAGAAGCCCTTACACTTACGAATTTTGAGATTAAAAATAATTTTTTGGAACAGTAGACAACATCCAGGGTAAACTACAGCATAAGCAAGATTGTTGCCACTGAGGATCCTACCTACCTTGCATTGTCAAATATTGCACAATACCCTGTAAATCCATTTTGTGATTCTGAAGACTTTTTCTCCTTTCTGCTAAAAAAAAAAAAAAAAGAAAAAAAAAAAGTCAGCTTGTGATAATGGTTTTAGTTATGTTGCCATGGTGCAGGATGCTGCAGTACACAGAATCTTGAATCTACAAAATCATGGGATTTCTTACGATATTTCTGCACCCAGTCCTTTTTAAAGACATTAGTGCCAGCAGGAGCAATTTCAGTTCATGTATGGTTGCTGGTAGGGATTTGGTGACTTTGCCTTGGGGGTGATTTTTGTGTTCAGAATCATGTGATGTGGCCTATGGAGATGCAAAATTCTGAAATGAATATGACTGTGAGGCAGTGCATTTTCCGAAAATTAGAAATATTTGCTACTAGGTTGATTACTAGATGACCCCATTCTAGCTCATGAAGGTGTTCAGCTAGAGCCTCTAAAGCTTGCTAATGAGTCCATTTCATCTTGATTATCCCTCTCCATTCATGGTGTGATAAAGTTCAAGTTGTTCTTGTTCTTAAAATTTCTCCATAGATTTCCTTAGTTCACCTTGTTCTGTTCCAGTTGACACTTTGTGGAACTTGTTGCTTTCTATTTTGGTCTCTGATACTTTTCTTGTTTGCATATTCAGGACAAAAGAAAGAATACCTTCATTGTCAGCAGGTAGTTACTCTTAATTTACAAAAGGCTTGTCAGTAGACTTGTGACTCAACTGACTTCAGAGGATCCTTGATTATTTTCTCTTTTTTTAACAGAGATACACTCAAAATGTTAAAAAAATATTCATTTGCTTAATCCAGTGGTGCAATTTCAGCAAACTTCTTGAGAAAAGACCCTGCGCTTTTGTCTGGAATGCCTATTGAAAAAAACATAATTTTCTGCCTTACTCTAAGAAATCATATCAGCTAGCTGCAATGTCTGTCCATTTATAGTCTCTGCAAGCTACCTGTGGGTTTTCCAACTGCTGTGGGTAATTTGACTACCCAGTCAAAGCAAGCAGCTTTCTAATCCTCCTGAGCAACAGAGGAAAGGGGTCAGCCAGTTCCAACAGAATGCCATCCCCTTGAATGCCCTGCCATGTACCAGGTACAGCTCACCAGCCTTGATGGGAGTTGTTGTTGTGTATGTTGTAAGGATTAAATAAATAACAATAATGATATTTTTATAAAAAAAAAAAAAAAGGAAAAGTCCAGTGGGCTAAGGGAAGGCAATTAATATTCTGGAACAGGAGCATAGGTCTCTTCCATTAGTAAGGAGCTGCTGCATACTCTCCAAAGGATGCCTAATCACCAGTTGCATGCTGCTGTGGCAGGAGAAATGCCTCAGCAAACATCACAGTAATGGGCATTAGAGACAGGGAATCCTACAACTGCCTTCTTCCATCCTCACAAGTGGGGCTAAAGATCTATGGAGCAACCAGCCTATATATACATACATACATACATACACACACATATACACATATACACATATGTACATACATATATATATATATATATACATATATATATGTAGGTATGTATATATGTGTGTGTATATATATATATGTAGTGCTTTGAGTACAATTTGACAATATTTTTTTTGGTCAACAAGAGGAAGTTTGTCAAATAAGTATTTGTTCTGTTTGTGGCTGGGATCGTTCTTGACAGTGTGGTGGCCAAAATCTTTTGGTTGGTTTTTGGGTTTTGAGGAAAAACCACGACAGGGAATAAAGCTTTTTTCAGGCTGCTGCTTTTGCTTAAAACATCAGTATTTCCAACAGTTCAGTAACTGGAATGGTCCACTTAAGTCACTGAGCCTAAACCAGTGTCCTCACTGTTAACAGCAGATGTAGAGCCCAGTTAATAGGTCACAGTAGCAGAATGAGGGGGCTAAATCGGACGTGAGCCATCATCTGCAGAAGTACAGTCCAGATTTATCAGGGTGACCTTGAATCACTGCAAATGGAGCTCTTAGGATACTGCAGCTCTACTGTCAGGTAATACCTGTTTACACTATAAATATCTTAAGAGAATTAATCTTTCAGGTCCCTGTGCTGAGGTAGGCAGAAACTTCCCTCTCAAGATGCAAGAAGTTAATTAGTGTTTCATTAGATATTGTGCACCCAAGCAGGATGTTGTGTGGCAGAAATAAAGATTAAATTAATTGAAAGAAAGCCCGTGGGAAAACATCAATGCAAAAATGATCACACAAAAGTTTTACCATGTTATGTATCACCTTTGGAATAGCTGGACTCCCAGTATGTGTATTAACTTCTGCTATTTTGTTTCAGATACTGTTAGAGGTGAGGGAGAAAAGACAGCATAGCTGGGGGCCCAGTGCTTGCTAAATTGTCAGCTTGTAGCAAAAGGACACAAAATTTCAGATGCTTTTCTCACGTGGAGAAAGGATCTAATCTGGTGTGAACCAGGGACAATCACAAGAGGAAACTGGAGGAACCACCGTTTTTCCAGGTTACTGCAGGACAGCAGGATGATCATGCACATCCAGAAGGCATTAAAAGATCTGAGAAGAGCTACATGTGCCAGTAGTGTAGTCTTTTTAGCATCTACCTTCTAAAAAATATTTTAGGCCTTATATTCAGTCTAACAGTCACCTAATGTTGGTTTTTTTTCCTACTCTCTTGAAGGTGTTGTATTAGATGTTGCAAAACAAAAGCACTGCTGGTTTGTATTAAAACTGGCATTACTTATAATGGTGTACTGTTGTTTTCAAGATTTTTTTAGAATTTTTTTTCTTTTTAGCTGATATTTTGACTTGACATTTCACAAGTTTTTTATTATGTTAATTAAAAATAGTTATTTAAAAATAATTATTGTTGTTTGGATTTGTTTTGGTGCTGTTTTTACTAGGATATCATTCACAACATCCAGTGCAAATCTGGGTTTGGTTGTGCTGGGCACTATGAAATGTTGGGGAATACACAATCTCTATTCACAAGTGAAATGTTGGTTCCAATTTGGTGGAGTGTGATCCACTAGTAAGGAAAATCCTTATTTAGAGAGTAGATGTTGTTTCTTTACTGGCTTCAACTAGGTGCTGTTTAGAGACATTCTGGTTATTTGTGTCATTACTGTTGACCTGCCTGTTTGCTTTGCCCAAGCAAAAGGTAGGGAAGTTGCAAAACTCCCTGCAAAAAGGAGTTTATAGCAGGAATAGGGGCTGGAAGATGGCAGTTCAGGGGCAGCAGTGTGAAGTGGCAAGGAGAAGGTCAAAAGCTTCAAGGTGATGTTACCAAAGCTTAGGTCCAGGAGCCACTGGTCTGAATCTAATGTGCCCTTTAGGTACTTGCTCTTGGTTCCAAGCTGGTGGTTGGTGAATACTTTCTCAGCTGCTTGATTTAAAATCAGTATCTTCTTTTGTATAAGAAATTCAGAATACGGTAGATAATTTACTTTGTATGGCAGCACTGTTCTTTAAGCCATAAAAAGCTCTTTCAGTCTCAGTTCCACACCAGCTAAGGCAACAGCGGAAGGAATGCCACTTTTATCAGAATAGGTTTTATATAAATAGGCTTTTCTGGTTTAGAGACGAGTTTCACCCCCACTTCCACCCCCGATAAAGAAAAATGCTCCTTTAGCATATTGTAGCCAGTCTAGAAAACCCTAATGCCAAAGATTGGTGCATTTTATTGGGCCAATCTCTGATAATCCTGGAGATCCAGACTGGTCCAGTGTATGTCCTTGGAGTCCCTGTTCTGTTGAACTGAGTATTTGTTGGCTTCCATGGTAATGCCCAGTTTGCAGGTGATGAGGGTACAACTGGTGATTGTCCCTTTCTTTTGACAGCAGTGCTGGCTCAGTGCTGGCAGTACTAGCACTGCTTCTGGAATGCCTCCTTCACTGCTGATAGAACTGCATGGCTGCATGGAGAACTGGATCAGGAAAATTATTTGGATTTTTAAATTTTCTTTCTGCCAGCTTATTTTTATCTCTTAAATTATGTAATTATTCCATAACTTGAGTTTTCTGCTTGGATTCTGTCCCAGACAATTGTTAAGATTCAGTAGCTATGGGGAACATAGAAACAGCCATTTTTTCTGTAATATGTGCAGTGTAGCACATATTACAGAAATGGAGAAAAATTCATCAGTCTCTTGTGACTTGGGGGTGGGATGTGGGAGTGTGCCTTATTAGACATCTCCCCAAAGAGTGAAAATTGTATGTAGGTACTCTGAGCTATCTTTAGTGAGCAGCACTTGGAGCTATTGCTTTCTGTGGACGTGCTGAGTCATTTCAGAGAGAAATGCTTCTAAAATGCTGAACAATAGGCATCCAGGTCTCTGGTGTCCTATGGACCTTTTGACTGATTTTCAAATGTAATCTGAAAACCCATATTCTTCTCCCATTTCTATTTAAATTATTGTTCTGCACCTTCTTTCTTTGTGCATAAAATAAGCTACTCTGCTTCCTCAGAATTTTCTTAATGGTTTCCCATGTAATCCTGCTTAGGGACACTGAATTTTGTTATTTTCTGAGATGGGTATGTAAAAACCAGGTTGTTTTGCAGTGACTGGTTAATAAGCTCCATGCAGTACTTCATTACACCTTGGTAAGCTATCACAGCAAACATGCTGGTCTGCAAGGCTGCACAGCTGTCTGTAGTCCAGCCATCACAGGGGGTTAGAGCATTCCATATGTAAATGTTGCTTTTCAACATGTGGTTTTCCAGATCATGTCATGAGGCAGAACCATGAGCTCACTAAATTTCCTTTAATGGGGATTTTGTTGGACTCTTAAACCTTGAGTTTCTCCTGTGTTTCAGCTTGCACAGTGACCTGCTTGTATCTTTCAGATAAAGAGAAGGAGAAAATAAAGCTTGAAGAAGATGAGGCAGCAGCTGCCAGCACTATGGCAGTCTCAGCTTCCCTCATGCCACCCATTTGGGACAAAACTATTCCTTATGATGGCGAGTCTTTCCACCTGGAGTACATGGATCTGGATGAGTTCCTGCTGGAAAATGGAATTCCTTCCAGCCCTACTCACCTGGATTTGAACCAGAATCCTCTCTTGCCTGTGGCTGAGCTGGAAGGGAAGGAATCTGCTGGTGCTTCCACTGGTTCTCCTGCATCATCCTCTTCCACTGCAGTTTACCAGCAATCTGAAGCAGCCTCTAGCACAGGTAGATGGAATAATGTGGGGTTCTGAGGGACTTCTGTTGTGCGCATATTAAAAGGTCCCTCTTCAGGTCAAATAGGAGACATGCTAACCTTGTCAGTGTCAGCTTTGGCAGGTTAAACTGTACAAACATGCTCAATGTAGAGCCTTAGTTCATATGTCAATTCATGAAGATGCTGCCTCTCCTTTTCTTCCCCTTTTCTCATCCTATGAAGAATAAGTGTCTATCAATGTGCAGTCTGTTTTGCTTTTGAAATTATAAGAGTTGAAACAGCAACATAAAGTATTTGCTTTCTTGGTATTGGTAATGTAGTGAGAAGCTGGACATGTTGAGAAAATACTCTCTCAGGTTATTTTACAACAGATTTGATAGCTTGTCACAAGTCACTTTCACTACCTTAGTCTGCTTGGGTGAACTTATGTGAACTTAATGTACCTCAAATAACAATGTTAAATAGAAAAACAATGAAGCATTCCTTTTTGTGGTAGCCTGGGAAATGTGAAAACAGACACTTGGAAAAGGTGTTTTAATTATGCAGTTTGATGTTCTGTGGTACTTTGAAGTGGGAATGGAGGAATAAAAAAAACAAAACTGTGCTTAAATGGTACTAGGAAACTTCATTTGTAGTATGGAGATCTTCTCTGTTAAAGAATTCAGCTGCTCAGTTTGCCCTAGATTTGGAGTTTAAACATGATAGCCATCACAGTACTATTTTATGAGCAAGCTTTACAGAAAGCATTTTGCTCTGGAAGTCTTTTGTGAATCTATGGGAAAGACAATGTGGAACTCCTTCCATAAATCCTAAGGTGTAGCTTTTTTCTAGGTGGTGTATGCAAAATTTATTTATTGATCACTTCTGCATATTGCAGTGACATGCAGTTTTGCAACTCGTGTATATGAAGTTTTGTAAACAATAGATTCATAGGATGAAGTTCATGTGAACACTACCAGTGTCAGATACTCTGTTGGGACGTTTGTTTCTATGTGGCAAAGAAGAATACTGTTGCATTTGTAACAAATACTCCTTTATTTGGTCAGTTGTTTGCAAGTCTACTTGTCTGACCTTTGAAGGTCCCAGGGACTGGGGTCTTTGGGCAGTCTTGTTTCTGTAAGTATTTGTATGGTACAAAACTCAGCCTGATACAAATTTCTCCCTTCTTACTGCTGTTGAAGGTGCTTTTTATGTGTGCAAAGCATGTAATTTTTGCCAAGGAAGTATTAACTCCCATCTTGCATCTGTCTACTCATGTCTGTTAATCTGGCATATGTTCCTAGAGTTATATTACAGACTGGACTGTGAACTCTTTCTCTGTACCAGCAGCAGTACAGCAGCCTCCACACCTCAGAGAAGCACCAACTAATACTATGAAATATTTCTCACATTAGGGCAATAAAGTTGGCTTCTTTGTTGATTCTCTTCATCCTGCTGAATATATTGTAATTTCTCCTGTTGTTGGCAGAGTCCCCACCACAAAATGAGAGAAATACACCCAGCCCCATTGATCCTGACTGCGTAGAAGTTGAGGTGAATTTTAACCCAGACCCTGCTGATTTAGTGCTGTCCAGTGTGCCTGGTGGTGAGCTCTTCAATCCTCGCAAACACAAGTTTACTGAAGAGGACCTGAAACCACAACCTATGATTAAAAAGGCCAAGAAGGTTTTTGTCCCAGATGAGCAAAAGGTAACAGATTTATTGCTGCAAACTCTTCTAGGCCTTGATAAAAGTTTCTGAGTCTTTGTCCAAACACTTTGACATACAGAGTTAATGCAGTTTACCTACATGATTGGGCAGAAACACTGCCAAGAATAGAATTGGCAAGCCAACTGCTGTGCTTGCTGTTCTGCAGGTTTTGGTATCATGAGCTAATTACTGGCAAGGAGCAACTTATCATGCTTTACACAGAAATTAGAAGAACTACCAAGTCAAATCCTCATCACCTGCACTTTTGAAGGCCATTGTCTGTATTTGCCCAGTATTTTGTCTAATCTGGATTTAAGCAACCCAGACAACAGAACAGGTGGTTTTATGTAAAAATTCACCCCTGAATTGAAACTAAGTAAAAGTTTAGGAAGCATTTCTGTTGGACAGCTTCTTAATACTCAAGTCTCTAAATCTCCTTAGTTCTAGCAGTGCACTTGGTTTATCCTAAAAGAGGACTTGTGTAAAGGTGAAATCTTACACTACTTCACGGTCTCCATTTTGATGTCAGAGCCCGGCAAACCTAAGCAGGAGATTCCTCAATATAGCAGTCAGTGTGAATATCATTATACAATAAAGAGGTGTCTCTGAAACAGTTGTTAGTTTGGCATCTTTTTTTTACTACAGGATGAAAAATACTGGACAAGGCGAAAGAAGAACAATGTGGCAGCGAAGCGTTCCCGTGATGCTCGGCGATTAAAGGAGAATCAGATCACAATTCGGGCAGCCTTTCTTGAGAAAGAAAATACAGCCCTGAGGACGGAGGTGGCAGAGCTGCGCAAGGAAGTGGGACGATGCAAGAACATTGTTTCTAAATACGAGACCAGATACGGACCCTTGTAAGCACACCCTTTTCCTTGTTAGGGCTCTTTGTTTTAGCCTCTTAGACTTCTCTGCCATCTGTAGAGACTCCCAGAAATAAAGTTCATGGAGGCTTTGCCATTTTGCATCTACACTAGAAAAAAACTAACAAAATACAAACAAACCCTGTTTCTGTTGGCACAACTTGTTCAGGCCCTTTCCTGATCATTCTGTTGTCCACAATTTTAGTGTCCATATTTACAAGCTTGTTTTCAACACTGATAGAACATTTTCTGATGTCATACAATTGAACAGATTCACCTGTCTGGAGGAATAAATGTGGATCCCTCCAGATTGGACAGAGCTTTTGCTATCTGTTCTAGCCTTCATTTTTAAGTGGAGAAAGGGCCTAGGAGATTCTCCTCTCTCTCTCTCTCTTTTTTTTTTTTTTTTTTTTTTAAATTTTCAAACTCTTGCTCTTTTCTCCTCTCCATTCCACCTTCCCCTCCCAGTAAAAGTTTAAAACATAATTTTAGGATATAAGTAGATGTTGCTGGGCAGCATCATGAAATTGTTTCCTCTCCCATTCAGAGGCACTAGAAAGTATCTGTTGTATAGAACTCTGTTCCTGTTGAAGAGGAATAGGGAACCTTTAGGACAGGAAGACAGGAAAATATCCAATCTCTTGTAAAAACAGAAGTAGTGCAATGTTAATCTATGAATCTTATGCAGAATGGAGTCAGTGCAATTTTGATTACAATACTGTCTAAATGTCTTGATAGGTTCTAATCCCAGAAAACTTGCAGAAACCAAGGAGAGAGAACAGTAGTGAATCACTTGCTTTACATATGTGGACAAAATAATTTGATGTGGGTTCTAGACTATATTTCTACCACCACCCCTCCTTTTTTTACTTAGAGGGTCTTCCCTCTTAAACTGCTGATAAAGCAGCATGTTGCACTTAACTGAGAAGTAAGGGAGATTTAGAAAAAGAGGTCTGAATCATTAGGCTGAACCTTGATTTCCAGCTGTTAAAAAATGGCCAGCAACTTATGCTTTGAAAGAAGGGGCTTTTTTAAAGACATAAACAAGCCACTGTTGTTTTACTGCACCTTACCTGTTGTGCAAGAGATTGAGAAAGAGTTCTGGTCCTTTGCCTCGTGAACACACTATGGGATAAGCTACACCCACTATAAATACAAACAGTTTACCTCACTGTCTCCTGTGTAGCAGCATATCTGGTCTCTCCATGCTGGTTCTATCTCCAGCATGTTTTCTGATAGAAAATTAGCACACAAGACTTGCCCTCTTGGAAGTAATCCATTCTCAGCACCAAGCACTGCTTCAACAATATATGGTGTTAAAAGAAAAAATATGCTGTGTGTGATGTTGAGACCTTCTACACGACCTACAACAGCAAGAACTAGAAGCTTTACCAGAAGTATATGTCCAGAAGTCCTCTTAAGATAGTGGCTATTTGTGTCAGAACTCTTAGGCTATACGTCCTGGGATAATATTTATATTAAGGAGTAAATGTGGGATGGTGATGTTGAGGGTAGTTGCAGTTCCTCTATTGAAATCTGAAAATATATTTAAAAAGCCTTAGGGTTTATTTTCTATGCTAAAGACTAGCTTATCTTTTAAACATAATGTGGAAATTATGAATTTAGAGCAATTTTGTGTTGACTTCTTAAGGAAGTGGAGAAGCAGGCTAATCCACAACACTTAATGTATGCTTTGAACTATCCCCCCTCTCTGTTATGCTCTTAATTTGACTAGAGTGTCTCTTGATGCGGTGTTGGTCTAATTTCTTTCAAACATACTAAAAATTGTCACCCTTTCAGCAGGGGTTTTTTCTTTCACAGGGTGGTTTGTGGTGGTGATGGTGGGAAGTATGTTACAAATAAATTGTCACACTTAACACTTTGCTTTGTTTAAAGTGACTTATCTGATTCCGAGTGATGCAACTTTAAAGACTTTTAAAAACAAAGAAACTAAAAAGCACACATGAATCGCCAGTCTTCAGAGTGAGCAGTGAAATCTATGAGGTGTCCCAACACAAACAACTGATGATGACCCTGCCTGCCTCCTTGCCTGCAAGTACCCCATCTGACTACCCAGGGCTGGGCATGATGAAAAGTGCAAAGTCTCCTTAATTCTGTATATGGCTTTCTTATCTGTCTTTCTCACTGTAACTATGAACTACAATAAGCTTACCTACTGGGGTTTTGTCAAGACACTCAAAGTTCATGTCTCAAAGTCTGTTGACAGCCTGTGTGAATAGTTTTGGCACTCGAGTGGAAGAAGAGGGAGTTTTAAATGAAAATGTCTGTATATATAAAGAACTGCTATATTTTAAGACTCTTTTCCCTGCAGTATAATGAATTTTATTTAATACTGCGGCTCACTTCTGGTGCAGTGTAGCGTATTGTGGAGTACTGTGAGTGCAGAACTAAAGACACCAGGAAGACAGCAGCTGTAATGTGTGAGACTTCAGTGCAGAAGATTACAACAGATGTACTGAAATAATACAGAAAGCACCACAGTGTGCCATACAGAGAGTAATAAACCTCTATCAAATGACCCACGTAACAGTAAACCACGTCCGTCGCTTTCCTGCTCCACAGCTACACTGCTGTAACCTGCCTTTTCCTTTATTTCGTTTATAAGGCTCACTTTCTTTTATGGTATCTTGCTGAAACAGGTTCTATTCTTCTGCTAACGATTTAGCAATCATGGAAAAGGTGCTATTCTGAGTTGCTGATCTCCAAGTCTTTTGGCAATCTGAAACTACCAAATGAGTATTAGCTCCAGGAAAACAATAGCTATTAGCTGCCATATTACAATTTTCTGTCTCTTGACTGCAGGACAACTGTGGTGCTGAAGGTGAAACAGCCAATGATATCCCACAGTTACAATGGGCAGCTTAAGTGTAAGGACCCTTGTGCCGGTGTGGGAGGGTAATGAAAGCTTGGATGGAGTTTGGAGATGTTTCTTGTGTTTAGAAGATGTAGGAAGTAGGTGGAAGTTCTGTTGTAACAGTTTCATCAGCATAACAAAGATCTGCTCTTATATTAAGAAAGCTTGAGAGCTAAATCTGTGTGGAAAGAACAAGAGTACTTACTTTCTAGGAAAGGAGTACAGGGCCATGCTTGTAGCCAAAATGGAGCTTGTAAGACAGGAGTGTGTTCATGCCTGGAGATTGATGAATAGCATACAACTCAAGAAAAATAATCTTGAAAGCTTTCTGAAGCACAAGTGCCAAAATTTTGAGGCATGACTAGTTACCAGCATAGCTCAGTGCTATCATATTGAACAATTATTTTGACTTTGTGTTTATTCAAGAAATTCCACCCCTAATTTCAGAGCAGAAACGGAAAGAGAGAAATGTGAGAAGCAGCAGATGATATTGTAAGATTAATTAAAAAAAATAAATTCAAAAGCCAAGATAACCAGTGTTTGCCAGCATAACCTTTGTACAGAACTTATATATTAAATGTAGTTTTTGACCTATCATTTTTAATGGATGATGTACTGAAGTCAAGAAAGTTTTTAACTTTTTGCTGGTTACCAAAGTATACCTATGACTGTATTATTTGGGATTATAAAGATCTGAGATAACCTTGGGATATTTTTATCAAATAGATGAATATCTTAGTTCCATGTTGCTGAAATGGCAGCATATATCTCTGCCTGTAATCAGTATTGCTGATTTGGACTGATATTTTCGGTATGTAGTGATTTTTGCTTTATTTTGGTGATAAAGGCCCAAACCATGGATAAAAAAAAAAAAAAAGCAACAAAATAAGCAACCATGACAGCATGTAAATGTAGCAACTTTTTTTCATTTTCATCAAATTTATAATTTCTAAATTTTCAGTTAGCTCTGGCTGTTCTTAAATGTCATGCTTCCTGTTTAAATCAAAGCCAAAAGCTAAATAATTGGGCAAGGAGTTGCTTTATTTGGATCCTACTATGCTTAGGAATATCTTTTAAATACTTACATATTGTGTACAGGATTTGGTTTTGCAGTGTGTCATGACAACAGCAAAATATTCAGTCAGTGAGATTAGCATGTGCAATTCTGTTATTTTATTTCTGTTATCTTAAAAGCTTACACAATGGAAACTAACAGTGAATGTTCATTAGATCTTTCTTTCAGAGAAGACTGTTAGCAAATATTTGTGCTTCCCTGTAGGACAATGCAGATTTGCACAATCTGTGATTTATATGTCTACGGGTTGCAAAACTGGAAAATCGCACTTCAGGGTGAGTGCGGCTCAACTTTTGCAGCTAGAGAATTTGTTGTTGTTGTTAAGAAGCAGTATCTTTAAAGATAGATGAGAAGGTAGTAACTATTTAAAGGAGTGCAGCTATTGCCAGCAAAAAACACTGTGCAATGCTGAATTCCTTTCTCAGTTTTTGCAGTCTCAGGAAGTTAAGTTTATTGCTCCAGAACTCTCTGCTCCTCTCGGAATGATTCGCTATATCATTTTGTTTCTTTGACAAGGATGACAATCCTATCTGTGAGTGATAACTTGGGTATGTTTTCTTAGTGATCATAAGAAGACCAATATTATTTTAGCTCAATTTGAATATTAAAAGATGCTGAATTGACACTGTTAGGGTCTGAAGTTCTCTAGCCTTGGAACATACTCTGTAGAGGCCATAAGTGTGCCTAATGCCAACCTACCCCATTCCAGCCACAAAGGGACCATCTCCAAGGGGAGAGAATAAAGGGCATGTGCACCTTTCAGCATCACTGCAGGGATTGCCAGGAAAGAGAGCAGTTTATGACAGCGCTGTACTTTCATTAGAAAGTGGATTGACACCACATGGCCATTTCATACTAACTTTAAAAGTATATACAATGTGGATGAGATTTGTGGACAACGAGTGTTGTTTTACTCTACAGAAGACAGCAGCTATGAATAAATGATGTGCAATATTTAATACAGTATTGCTTTCATATATGATGATCCAATCTACATGTAGTGGGTTTGTGTCTAAAAATTCCAAAAAGCTTAATCTTTCACCTGTTGCCAAGATCTGCTCCCACTGAAGCTAGTAACAAAGATCTCATTAACTCCCACGGGAAAAAGTCTTTACTCTTATGTGGTCATTGTAAAGTTTTAGCAACTGCTGGAGTCATGGGTGTCTTTGCTTTACTCTGAAGCATTCTGTGCTGGGATCAGGTGGATAAATCTGAGATTGCAGGTGTAGTGTTGGTAAACTGATCCTGATGGTTTTGATATTCAGATAATCTGAATTCTGCTTGCATTTTTTTTTTGGTCCTGCATGGACAGAGTGAAAAAGTAGTGTACTTGTGTTGGAGAATAAATGTTTTTGGGTTGTTTGGTTTTTTGCTAAGCAGCTTTTTGTAGTAACATTTTATGTGTTTTCTGACAGTTCTCCATTTCCTTGCTGTGCTGTTTGAAAGCCCAAGGTGTTCGAACTAGAAATCACTTTCAGCATTATCTGCAGGCCTGCTACTAATTGTACCAAACCCATTTCAAGTTGGGAGGTGCAGTGGAAGGCCAGCAGCTTTGGGAATACTATAATAAAACCACTTACATGGAAAAAAAAATAATTTGTAGATATTAAAAATAATGGACCTGCACACAGGAGAATATTGCTGCTTCAGTATTGTAGGCCACCTGAGCATAGAAGGGCTTTGTTCCTTGTGATCAGGTGCTTTCATTTTTAGTGAGAGAGAAGGTATCTTGGACCTTTGTAAAATCCAGATAGGCTCTTGTTCACCTTTCTAGTTTTGGCTGCTAAGCACAAGATGAGAAATGTAAATTTATTTTAGTGCATAAATCTCATATTTTTGGCAACATACACCTAAATCCATAAAGACCAAATCATTTGTTAGTGCTAGCGTTTTGCCTTTGCAGCACTACAAGACTCTGACTGGCTTTCTAGATCTTCAGATAATTACTCTGGTGTGTATATCTGCCACTGTAACATGGTGAAGATAGCTAAACTCACAGTTGAAGACTGAGAGAAAGGTAGAAAGAATAGGCTTAACTAAATATCTGTAGAGATGCTAACATAATGTTAATTGAGAAATTACAGTGATTTAACTCATGATGCTGCAAATTGTCATACAGATATAATTTGTTAGTTTGATAGCCTGCTATCTGTCGTGAGTCACTTTTGGAACAGAAACTTCTTGAAGTTCAGACACCTGCAGGGAAAAAGGAATCCTTTGAGGAAGATAAATATATAGACATAGATAAATATATAGATACTTGGCAAGGAGAGCAAAGAATAAAAGAGGAAGAGGAGAGTAATGCAAGAATCTGACTTGAATGAGATTGCTTAAACTGACACCTCACTGTTTACAATTTTAGGCCAATTTGGATCCCCTCAGTTTAGCATCATACTGAAGATAAGTACTTGTTTAGGTCTTGGGAATCTGCTTGTCTCCACAGTCCAGAAGGAAGTGAAAGGAGTATATAGATAGGGAGGAGAGTTACTGCAGAAAGGCATGAAAAAATAGCTGCTGTTTCAACTAAGTGTGCTGTTGCGCTGGGGCTTGACTTGCCAATGTAAACTGGTCAGTGCTGTCTCATGAGGAAACTACTATCTGAGGCCCCAATCTTTTAAGGTCTCAATTCTGCTGTCATTTCTGTGTGGGAAGAGCCCTATATCTATAGACAACCATGTGGACTTCACAGGATCTGTTCTTGAATGTGAAGCTCTGCCCAGGCAGTCAGCTGCAGAATTGTGTCCGTAACACACTACCCAGTTGTAGTTATAGGGTTGTTGATATTAAGTGTAATTTGGGTGCCTGTTATATAGCTAAAACCCTTGTTACTTCATTTTCCTAACTAAGGCATGAGCAGAAGCCCTTTGCTGTACAACATCTGTAAAAAACTTAAAAATGTACTTCACATACGTCTAGTAAATTAAGGCATGTGATTTTGGTCTGTGGGTCTCAACAAACCTTGCTCGTGTACCTGCCTGAATGTTTTCCTAGATGTGCAGCTACGTTTCAGTGAGAAGGGATGGTGGGATTTGTTTTCCTGAGGGGGAACAATAGCAGCTCTCACCTGTCACACTGGGGTGACCGCTTGCTACTGGCCAGGATCAGGGATGGATGCATCCTCCGCACTTTTATGTGAAGTTGTCTGAAATATGGTGATTAACATGATTATTGGAATACTGTATTTTGTATAACTTAGAACATGTAAATACACTTTTAAAACTAATCTGTTCTATGAAGTAATAAATAAGTGCTTCCATTGTAATATCTGAATATTGTTAATGCTTCATGTAGCTTGATTTGGGATTATTTCTTTCCTAGAGAACTACAGAAATCAAAACAAAGATTGATGTTGTGGAATTCTAGTCTAGTTGTGATGCTTTCTATCAACAAAAAATGTTTTAAAAATAATAATGAGCTACTTAAGCAGAGAAACTAAGATTTTGAGGGAACCAATTTTCTTCCAGTCTTTCTTTAACAGTAGTCACTGATTACATTCATCAATTGTACTCTTCCCATCCTGTTAGCTGGACAGTTGATTTGTTTGTGAGTAGCATTATTAAATTATTTGTAAACTTTAGTGACTAAGGAAAACTAAAGCTGGGTGGGTTTTGTTGGGTGTGGTTTTTTAAACTATTCTCTCTTTTGGCTCAAACAGATCTGTCTCCACCCTTCAGCCAGACTGCAGCAAGTTGCAGTGCAACAGTGAGTGACTGTTACTGAAGCTCATTTGTGACCTAGATAGTCTACATCTTTATTAGTTCCATTATGTACATAGATGACACGGGTTTCCTGTTGTGGTGTGGAGAGAGAAAGAGAGAGAAAGTGATTAATGACTTTTGGTTTTGCTGAGTACATGTTCACTGGATGCTGCACAGCTGGACCTTTCATCAGCTTTCATGACCTTTTCTATCTTGTGTTAAAAGAAATAGAAAACAGTGGAGTAAGAATCATGAGCAGTCTGCTAGGAAGTCTGAACGCTTGGGTTTTGAGGAGGAGGTGAGATTAATCCATCAGCCTTCATGTAAAGAGATTAGCCTGTAATGACACTTTCTCCAGCCATAATGTAACTTTGTCTTTAATGCTGTACTGGAGCAGTCTCCTCTCTGGTAACAGCTATGTCTGCAGTGTTCCATAAACTACAAAGCCACAGCTTTCGTAGTGGGCAGAGACAACAGCTTGTCTTTTTATTTTCATCTATTTTTTTCCTCCTCTCTCAGTGTCTCTAGGCTGTAAAATAGCTATGAAACAGCTAAGCAAATGTGCAAGTTATTCTGAAAACTCTGTTCTTGTAAAGCTTTTTCAGACACATACAGTTTTTAACTAAATAATTTGAGGGAACTCCTATCTGCTATATTTGGCCTGAAATTCTGTTGCCTCTTGGATAAAAGCATTTTTTTGTCTTCAGATGTGACGCTGATCTGTCCCATTCATTCAGTGGGATGGATAATAAATCTGCACAGTATTTATATAAGATATAAATCTGATCTTAGTTTTACTGTGTGTTAAGTTGTTTAATCTCTTGGATGTCTACTCCTTGAGGTTGTCTATATAATTCCTGTATATGTAGCTGCTTTTTGAAGCAGTCCATCAAGTGCATTTGAGATCATCCTGACTGAAAAATTCCACAGAAGTGAAAGAGATAATAAAGCTTGTAAAGTGGCTGGGTAAAACTGTATTGCCATAAATGGTTTTAATTTCTATATGAATCTTCTGTCCCAAACTGCTTATTTTGTACATAAACCTAAACACTCCTGGCAGCTGATGGGTGAAAATAAAGGTGCTTAAACAGCAATCTAATGAGGAAAGGGCATTTCACTATTACAGAGTTGGTATTATTTTATATTTCCATTTATTACACTTTTTTAAATGTATAAACCACAGATTTGAATTCTCAAAGTCTTCGGCTTGGATTTTGTGAGTAGTTTAAATCCTCTCACCTCTCTGCTCATAACTGGTTTTTAAGAAAAAGAAAAGCTTTTGTTTAAAATGTAAAATTTTGACTGTATTAAATTCTGTTAGTACCCTTCCTTTTTAAGAAATAAAATGTATATTCCACTATGCTGAGACCCAGTAATTTTCTTCTCGAGACAGCATACTGTGTGGTGTACAGCTCCACTGCCAGCATTACACCTGCAATTTGCAGTGAAGTTGGTAGACACTAAAGCAGTTGATCACCTTTTGGGAGTGGGTTCTTGCTGTGCATTTCCCATGTGTTAAGTGTACTGGTAACAGGTATACAGTTCCCCACTTTAATTTTCTGGATTAACTGATTTCAAAAGCATTTTTGCTTTTTTTGTTTTGTGTTTGTCCTGCAGTGACTCTTGGTTGAACTCTCTCAGGCAGGGGGAGAAATCTGAGAACAAGTCAGCCACAGACACTTGGACCGTGCTTTGTCTGTTATGCTGGGGCTGAGAACATCCACAAAGTAATCAGAATTTTACTTTCTTTCATGGGAAGAAGTAATGTTCTGAATAAGTAAGTTTTGTCCCTGAGGACAGCTTTCTCTGTACCTTGCCATTCTTTTTTTTTTTTTTTTTTTTTTTAACTTGATTTGAGGGTTTTGGTTGGTTCAATGTTTTTTTCATTGGTGGTTGGGTTTCTTCATTTTTATTTTCCAAAAGCTAGTAATTGAAGATCAACCTGGTAAGAAATCTATGTCTTCTATATGTTTCTGCATCTCACACATTCTTTCAAGGTAGACAAGATCACTGGTGCTTCAGTATAATCTCTAGATGAACTGCAGTAAGGATCTTTGTTGGATCTTTGCTTTTGTAAAAGGTATCTTGTATGATTTGTGATGGAGGGTGGTAGCAGGGAAGAAACTAAGTGTCAGTGAGTTGTTCGTCTCTAGCAGTCTTCCAGAGCCATGGCAGGTTTAGTGACCCAGGCAATTGGTTTATGAAAGCAAAAAACCTTCCTCTTTAGAGGGAGGGGCCTGACCTCTATACATACCAAAGGCCAAGGTCTTGACATTGCCAAGCCAAGGATTTGCCCTAGAAACTGAGTGGATGCAAAGCTGTGCTGGATGTATCCTTCTGGTGTTACATGGCTTTAACAGAGTGGAGGATATTTGGCATTTTTTTCCTGTTGGAAATATCCTGTTGGAACATCAGCTGGCAGCAACACCAATGTTTGTTACACTGCCTTCTTTTCAGGGAGCTTGAATGTTCTCTTGGGTGGGTGGGGAGTGAGTTCATACATGTACTAACTCTGCACATTATATTACTAGTTCCCTTTGGGAAATGTTGCAGCTATTAGTGATCTGAAAAATGGCAACTGCTTACTCAGCCTCCTTCCTGTTGTGTGTTGGGAAGATCCGCTGATCTTGGTACTTTGGATACACTGGTACTCATTTTTGCTCCTGCTGGCTACACCAGATCCACAGAAGAGCAGAAAGGATCTGTCTCTAGTGGGTCTGTAGCACTCTGTAGCAGGAATGGAATACTGTGGTTGAGAAATGTGAAAGAGCTGCATCCACCAAGTGCCTTGGGGTTTTTGCTTGCTCTTGGCTGTGGTTGTTGGCTGGACATGACCATTGAGAAAGTGTGTCTTAGGCTTCTGAGGAAATAGCAAACTGATAGAAAGAGAGTAAAGCCTGAAGCTGATGGTATAGCTTTGACAGACTTGTGCTTAGGTGGGTGGGGTGTCCCTGAGAAATTATTGGAAAAGAGTAATATGAGACTAGCCTTCCTCCCATAAGGGAAAGAGAGGAGGTGAAAGAGGATGTGGAGTGGAAAGCTGTTAGCAGTATTCCAGATGTTGCAAGAGGTGAGTTCCTGTACCTTATCCCTCTGCCTGATCAGTTTTGATGATCAAAACTGGCTCTTGTATGCTTTATTCCCGAAATATGCTTCCAGCTTGCAAGAGCAGGCTCAGCACCCGCCCCACCCCCGGCTGAAGGCTGGAGCAGCAAGGCTTTGAGCCAGAGCCATGTGCGTGCTCCACGGTGGCGGTGAGGCCGCAGTAGGGCCCCCCCTCCCCAGGCTTTGTGCCCGCGGTGCTGCTCAAACCCACCTGTGCAGGAGAAGGGTGCGGGTGGCTCCCAAGCAGCTGCTGCTTCAGCCTTCCTTGTCTGCTGGTGCAGTCATTTTATCCCGCTGATTGCTTATTTGTTCCTAAAGCTTTATAGGGTGTAAAATACATAATTTGAAGAGAAAGTAAGCTCATCTTCTCCTAAATTCGCATACTGCCTCAGTCCATCGAGCCAAGTTTGCTCCGGTGTCCTGCTCCTCCTGCACGCCTGCT